ATTATTTGGATAATTGGTAAAAAAAAAAAAAAAAAAGTTAAATATCTTAAACCTACTGTTAGACCTACCTGAAAAAATGTGAGATAGCTAGTTATAATGGTAATTAAATAATGTTTACATATGTATAAAAGCCTACATTTAAATCTGTCATATAAATTGGTCTCTTCATTAGAAATTAGCCTACTGATTGCCACCATTGATGGACAACATTTTTAATAATATAAAAAAATATCTGTATGACATTATATTCTGCAGTTCTTCCCTGTTGTACCGAATATCTATACTTTTCAAATTATCATATCGAAGTTAGAAATTCAAATATTGTGACAAAATTAATTTTGTAGGGTGCCACAAGTTGGTTAAAATTTCCAAATGGTGCCGCGACTAAAAAAAGGTTGGGAAACACTGCTCTAAACAATGTAAAGAAAAAACTAAAAACTAACTTTTTCCTAAAACTTTTTTCTCGGGTCTTAAGAGGTTATTAATGAGTGATTTTCAGATAGAGGATAGAGCCCAGGCAGTTTTAAGTGTTTCTCCACAGAAGTGGTTGACTGAAGGAGATCCAGTGACTCTGATCTGTGAGGTTCACGGCTCCCCTACAGGCTGGACATTCAGCTGGTTTTCTGTAAATGCTTCATCAGGTAAGATATAATGTGCTTCATGGCTTAACATCTGAATTAACTGGTTTTATGAAAGTCAGACGTACTGTTTAATATGTCTGAATCCAAGCATTACAGACCAGGTATGTGGGGCATACTGTATGCCTAAATTCCCTAAACTCCCACGGGTTTCGAGCAGTGAGACCCACCATAGATGCTCAGTCGTGCATCATCACTCACTCTTCTGCAAAATCATAAGGTGTCATTGTTTGTTTCATGTATCTGCATGTACTGGAGACAGATATGTAATGTAGGGCTCAATGGTACATGATTTAGTCCTGGTATAAAAATCCTGAATGCATTGGGTTACACCAACAAAAGAAATTGATAAGGGTCAAATCAGATGCTCTTGTTTTACAGACTTCAGCAGTTGTTATAAGCTGCTCTCAGACAGCAGCAGAGGAGCTGGAGGAAACTACACTGTCAGTTCTGCTGCTCTAAAACACACAGGAGTTTATGTGTGCAGAGCAGAGAGAGGAAAACCAGTATATAAAACAACCTTCAGCAACACACAGCCAGTATGGGTCACTGGTGAGTTCAAACAGGATCAGTTTGAATGAGACAGTACTGAAAGAAGAATGTATGAGAGTGTGTTGTACGATACAATGAATGATGCATCTAGTCATATCAAGAGGAATCAGAGTTTTCTTGGTGTTTTGAGAGCTATGATGTACTATTCAAAAATTCCTCTCCAATTTGTAATAGAGGAAATATTCATTAAAAACTGAAGCATGACTTGGTACGGAACACATATGTTATTCATTAATATTATTTTTATTAGTGAACCTGAAGAAAAACAATTAAACAGGCCTAGCAAAAATGTTTAACCCATTTAAAAAGGGAGATTTCATGCTTAAATTGTTTTAAAACATTTCCAAAGAGTTGTAATTGTCTTCTCAGGTGTTTCTCCTCGAGTCTCTCTGATCATCAGTCCCAGCAGAACTCAACACTTCACATTGGTCTCTCTCTCTCTGAGCTGTGAGGACCAGAGTAACTCTGATAGATGGAGAGTGAGAAGATACACAGATAGTTTGGGGCTGGAAGATTGTTCATCATTACGCCGGGCATCACAAACAGGATCTACATGTACAATCAGCTCCACCATCACATCAGACACTGGAGTGTACTGGTGTCAGTCTGAATCTGGAGAGAACTATCATCCTGTTAATATCACTGTACACTTTGAGTCTGTTTATGTATTTATTTATTTCACTGGCAGTTTACACATCAATACATAAAGCAGGTCGATTAAACAAGTGCAGGACGCATCAGTGGTAAAAAAAAAACTCAGTGGCAGGCAGTACAAAAAAATCTACTTTTATCATAAAACATAAAACCTTTATTTTTTGTTATCATATTTTTCATATAGTCTTACTATTTGCCAACAGCTCATGTTTCCTCTGTTCTGTAGCTGATGTGATTATGGAGAGTCCTGTTCATCCTGTGACTTGCTCTCAGACAGCAGCAGAGGAGCTGGAGGAAACTACACTGTCAGTTCTGCTGCTCTAAAACACACAGGAGTTTATGTGTGCAGAGCAGAGAGAGGAAAACCAGTATATAAAACAACCTTCAGCAACACACAGCCAGTATGGGTCACTGGTGAGTTTAAACAGGATCAGTGTGCATGAGACAATGATTGATGCATCTGGTGTCACCTAAGGAATCAAAATTTCCCTTGGTGTTTTGAGACCTTGATGTACTAAGAAAATACAATGTAAGTTTCAAAATTCCTCTGTATTTCACAATATGTTTCTTCACAAAAATTCTTTGAAAGATGGTCATTGAAAACTGAAGCATCACTGTTTATGGAACACAAATGTTATTAATATTATAAGTTAACCTGAAGGAAAACAATTAAATAAGCCTAATTAAAATGTTCAACCTATTTAAACCTCTTTTTATGCTTTTTATTATTTGATAATTATTTTATTATAATTTATTTTAAAACATTCATCAGGTGTTTCTCCTCCAGTCTCTCTGATCATCTGACTGCAGGTTTCAGGAAGTCTTGAGGCTTTAACACAGTTTGTGTCTTTAACCGTCTGTCATCATTCAGTCAGTATGGAGCTCAGTCAACTTCCTCTTGTGCTCTGTGAGTATTATTTTATCTGAATATAGTTAAATGGATGATAATTGTTTTTATATTATGTAAAGGATCAAGTGATTTTGTGTTCCTTATTTTTGTCTTTTCTTCTAGTCCATGATATATGAGTGAAAGATGAGCTTGAGAGAGGAAGAGAAAGTTAGTGCTGCTTGTAAAAGATAAATTGAGTGTTATGTCAGTATCTCTGTTCAGTCTTTGGGATCTGTGCTGTTTAATGGTGTTTGTTGAATCAGTTCTGTTGGTTTGTTTTGCACAGTTTGCTGTCTGATGCTTAAAGTAAATGATAGTAACATTCACTAGTAAGTACGAAGGAAGATTCATAATTCATCCATCTGCTTGTGAACACACTGGTTGCTTCCTTAAACAAGTTCCCTAAACAAGTTCAAGTGCTCTAAATTATAAAATATCAAACAGATTTTTCAGTGCTTATCTGGAAACACCTGTGATTAACCTTAGAAACCTTTGGAGAAATAAAAAAAAAATTGTGTTGTGAAGCTGAGAAATATTTGAGAGTAAAAGTATGGTGTTTCACAAGCAAAGAAAGAAGAATAAATGATATCTGATGTATAATATATATTATCAGCTCCATGCTCACACTGTAATGAGATTTTTGTGTTTTTAGTGCAAACATTCACTCTGGAAACACTGAAAGTGAATGAATTTGACTAATATATTTCATGTCTACACTGTTACAAAACAGTTGTAAAAAATTTTTTTTAATAAAGTACTTTGATTATCAATAAAAAATGCCAATTTCTTATTAAATATTACATGGTCATAACTCGTGCTTTTTGCCAATTTTATATTGACAGAGACATTCATAAACCAACTCTGACTGTGCACCTTACATAATGCACAAATTTCAAAATGTTATAATTTACACTGATAGTTTGATCTCTTCATACATGCACAGCACACACACATGTTTAACATGTTATTAATGAGTGATTTCTCTATTTCAGATAGAGCCCAGGCAGTTTTAAGTGTTTCTCCACAGAAGTGGTTGACTGAAGGAGATCCAGTGACTCTGATCTGTGAGGTTAACGGCTCCTCTACAGGCTGGACATTCAGCTGGTTCACTGTAACTGTCTCATCAGGTAAGATATAATGTGCTTCATGTAGTAACATCTGAATAAACTGGTTTCATAAAAAATATATTGAGATTAAAAACATTTAATCAATCTAAATACTCTGATTATACCAACAAAGGTCTTTTATAAAACTCATGTAAAAATGTCTGCTCATTTCTTCAGGTAACTGCACTTTTTCACTTTATACAGACTACAGATATCGTTATGAGCTGCTCTCCAGAGGAGCTAGAGGAGCTGGAGGAAACTACACTGTCAGTTCTGCTGCTCTAAAACACACAGGAGTTTATGCAGAGAGAGCAGAGAGAGGAAAACCAGTCTATAAAAGAACCATCAGCAACACACAGTTAATATGGGTCACTGGTGAGTTCAAACTGAACCACAGAATGAGTGAGGAGGTCCTAAACAGACCAAACTAACCAGCAAAACAAATGTTATTAATATTATAAGTTAAACTGAAGGAAAACAATTAAATAAGCCTATTCAAAATGTTCTACCATTTTAAAAAGAGAGATTTTATGTTTTTTATTATTTGTTCATTATTTTATTTAAATTTATTTTGAAACATTCATCAGGTGTTTCTCCTCCAGTCTCTCTGATCATCAGTCCCAGCAGAACTCAACACTTCACATTGGTCTCTCTCTCTCTGAGCTGTGAGGACCAGAGTAACTCTGATAGATGGAGAGTGAGAAGATACACAGGGAGTGGACAGTGGGAAGATTGTTCATCATTACGCCGGGCATCACAAACAGGATCTACATGTACAATCAGCTCTACCATCACATGGGACACTGGAGTGTACTGGTGTCAGTTTGAATCTGGAGAGAACAGTCATCCTGTTAATATCACTGTACACCGTGAGTCTGTGCTTCTGTATTTATTTCACCTGCAGTTTACAATCAATGCATAAAGCAGGTTAATTAAACAAGAACAGAAAGCTTCAGTGGTAAAACAAAACAAAAAAAAAACACTCAATGGGCAGGCAGTACAAAAAAATCTAGTTTTGTCATCAAATATAAAAATCATAAAACAAATATAACAAAAAAGTTATAATGTTCATATAATCTAACTCTTTACAATCGGCTCATGTTTCCTCTGTTCTGTAGTTGGTGTGATTCTGGAGAGTCCTGTTCATCCTGTGACTGAAGGAGATACTCTGACTCTACGCTGTTTATATCAACATTCAACCCCACCAAACCTCAGAGCTGATTTCTATAAAGATGGATCACTCATCCAGAATCAAACTACAGAGATGATCATCTCTACTGTCTCAAAGTCACATGAGGGTTTCTACTACTGCAAACACCCAGAGAGAGGAGAGTCACCCAAGAGCTGGATCTCAGTCAGAGGTGAGACTAAGAAATATAAAAACTATTGAAATGTGCCTGTATCATTTACAGCACTAATCTGGATGTAAAATATATGTATCTCAGCTTCCTCAGCCTCAAAGTCTGATGGTCTCAATCCTGTGATAATTGGAGTGACTGCAGGACTGACCGTCACATTTTTGATCATTGTCGTCTTGGTCCTGCTGTGGTGCTACAGAAACAACAAAGGTTCATCATTTGCCCTCTTAAAATTCAATGATACATTTGCTGACACTAACTCTGATCCTAAACCTTGTGAGCTGCCGTCCTACATCAGTCTAAGCTGGTTATCTGGTCTCAGCTGGTCTTCCAACCTAGTAAAGCTGGTGTGTTGGCTAGTTTTAGTAGGTTTCTAGGTATTTTTCATCTGGTTAGGCTGAGAACTTGTGTATTGAAATTAACTGTGTCGAGTCCATTTGTCCACTGATGCACATGTAAAGCACTCCAAATTAGTTATTTATCAATTTCCATTTCTGTTAGGATTTCTGTCTTGAATGCAACCTATGAGGAGAGCAGGCAGCAAGGCAGCTTACTATGTTTTAGAACAGAACCATAATGTTATAAATAAATAAATAAATAAAAAACATGTCACTAAAGCACTTTCATTCTCAAACATGTATGCATGAACGGGATTAAAAGGAGGTTTTCCTCAAAACATATACATAATAATTTTATGTTATCTTAGGTGTAAGATCTCAGTCTCCCTCTAGTGTCAGTCAACAGCAGAACAGCAGTCAGACATCAGAGCAGAACCAGAGTGACGCTGGAAACAACACACTGCTGTCTGGTCAGTCTTTACCTGTTAACCATAAATAAATACATATAAATCTTTACAAGCTGAGATGAAAGACACTTAAGAATAACTTTTAACAGGACTGATGTCACAACTAAATACTATTTCACTTCTCTAAGTTTAACATGATATTTGTGTGTCTGACATATGTTTCAGTTAGATGTCATTTGGGTTTATTTTGTTATCAAAAATGTAATTACAAAATAAATTTTGTTTTCTGTCATTTAAAAAAGTTTAAATGAAATATTTTGTATAATGCTTTATTTTATTTATAAGTGAGTGTTAATGGCAAAAATAATATATATATATATTATGGAAAATTATTTAATGTATTACAGGAACTGCTCATATTTATGACTCTATTGATGCAACGATTAAGAAAAAAGACACAAGCACAGGTAACTAATGATGTCATTTAAAGTGTTTTTAAACTGAAACAGTAGTTCTTTTCTAAAGATATTATAAACTGAATCAATGTTTTTAATCACTGCACATTTACAGAGGAAATCCAGTGTCTTATTACTTTCTTTATTTTCATTTTAAGACAGCGTAAGTGGACCTGAACTCACCTATGCTGAGATTGAACTCAAATCTACAAAGAAACTGAAGAAAAAGAAAGACAACAAAAGTAAACAGAAACAAAAAGCTCTGTTCTTATGATTTTATAATTGTATTCATAATGCTTTGATTTTGATTTATTTCTTAAATAACTCTAAAAAGTTACAAAAAACATGGCAGTATTTTCCTAAACACCTGTGTGTAGTTGTGCGTTGTGAATCTCACATGATACATAAGTTCATTTTGAGTTAATTTGGTTTAACATGTAATCATTTTAAAATAAAAGAATTATACATATTATATTTTGGCATCTTCTAGGGAACAGCATTGAGAGTTATGACAGCGTTTACTCTAAACAGAAGTTAGAAACAGATCAAGGTGAGTGTCAAACTAAAACAATTCAGTCATAGTTCACAAGGAGCTACTGAAAACTGCATCTACAAGCATCATTGAGAAGAATGAAATTAAATACTGCATATAAAAATGTGCGTTTTGAATATATTTCTATATTTTCAGGTGCTGGATCTAGTGATGTGACATATGCTCAGATTAAATAAATGCTCAGATGAGAAACTGTCAATCCCTGGATTCTGATGAGTTTAGGTTGAGAAGGAGTGAAGAATGACCAGGATCATCAATGCTTTATCATCTTTGTGATACTGAGCAACTGATGGTAATAGATTTATCAGCCTTCATGTGCCTCAGAGACTATGCTTGCTGATTATAGGAAACAGGAAAGATTATCATTTAGTTCTGCACAGTGTGTTGTCTTATTGTAAAAAGCCACTGATAATAGGGCCCAATGTACTGTGTTAATATGAATTTTACGCATTGATTTTTCACAGGTGTATATATGTTATATATTGCAGTTTGGATGCTTTTGTTGCTATTAGACTGCTGGTTTAGACTGTACATTTGCTTTGGGCATTCGGAAACAAAACTTGCATCTTTACAACTGTAATCATTTGTTTGTATACATGATTTATGAGCTGTCTGTGGAGGAAATTTTGTTTTTACATGAAATATTATTATTATTGGTATTATTTGCTTAACTGTACTAAAGAGTGCTCTTTAGACTGTCTCTGAGTGCTTCAGTTTGCTTCAGTATGCTTGAGTTTTTGATGAGCTGAGAGATAACAGGAAATCTATTTAATGAGTGTATGTTCCTGTGGCTCAGTGGTAGAGCATTGCATTAGCAGTGTGTGTGTGTGTGTGTGTGTGTGTGTGTGTGCGTGTGCACTTGCACAGCTATCTTTGTGAGGGCCGGTTTGAGTTTTAGACCATCGAAGTGAGGACAATATTGTAAAGTGAGGACATTTTGGCCGGTCCTCACTTTCTGAGAGCCT